AGGCTTGTATTTATATGCTTGGGGAAGTTCGGGCGGTTAAAACCGCATAAAAGCCCACTTTTAGGCCTGGAGACACCCTTGGGTGTCTCAGCGAGGCCGAGACACCCTCGGGTGTCTCGGCCTTGGCCGAGACACCTTAGGGTGTCTCGGTTGGGCCGAGACACCCCGTGGTGTCTCAACTCAGCTGAGACGCTTCTTTTGCCCGCACGTTTGTCCGTTACTTCCGTAACTTCTTCGTCCGAACTCGGATTTGAGTAATTCAAAGTGCGTTGGAAAGCTAGCGAGGAGATCTATAAGATCCCATGATTGAATCATCTATGGAGTAAATGAGACACGAAGGGTATTTCGCCGTTTGTGAACGACACGAGGTTCCCGATCAGTTCGTGTCTTTGTTATTCTGAAATTCCGTTACTTCACGTAGTTCGTCGATTCACTTCAAGCGTTCACCGACATCAATCAAGCTTCTGTGAACCGGATAGTGACGTTCATCGTTTTTTCTTAGCGCTGAGCTGTTCGTGAAGACCTATAGGCAATTTTCGATGCCTACAGTTTAGGGTTTCAGTTGGTGAGAAAGGTGGGATCTTTTTTGGTAAAGCTTCTTTCTTTTCTCAGTTTTGGATCTATTCTTCATTTGTTTCCGTATTGGTTGTTGGTGTGTTGAGGATTATGGCCGAGAAATAGGGAGTTAAGGGTGGTTCTTAAGGTGTAAATACGGTCCAAAGTTTGAGTATCCACTCGATGAAGATTGACGTGGAGAAGTTCAATAACACTAATAATTTTGGACTTTGGCGATGCGAAGTCTTGGATGCGCTCAATGCACAGAATTTGGAAGATACATTAGAGTTGGATGGGAAACCGGATGACATTGATGAGAAGGTTTGGAAAAAGATGAATCGGATAGCGTGTGGTGTGATTAGGTATTGTCTCACTCAAGATCTAAAATATGATGTGATGAATGAGACTTCAGCTAAGAAGATTTGGGAAGTCCTAGAGAGCAAGTACTTGACGAAGAGCATCGAAAATCGCTTGCATTTGAAGAGGAGGCTTTATCGCTTCCAATTGAAGAAGGGGACATCCATTAGTGATCACATGAACCACTACACGAAGCTTCTTGCAGATTTGACGAATGTAGATGTCATTATTGAAGATGAGGACAATGCGTTGCTATTGTTGAGTTCTTTGCCCGACGAGGAATACGAGACGTTTGTCCTTACTCTTATTAATGGGAAGGCATCTCTTTCATATAGCGAGGTCACCACTGTATTAGTGAATTACTAACTTAGGAAGAAGGACAAGAAGACTTCTATTGAGCCGGTAGCGGGGGTATTGGTTGCAAGAACAAAGGGTCCAAACCGAGGTAGAAGGTCACAGTCTAGAGGGGCACATCTTGGAATTCGTAGAAATCAGTATGCTTTTTGTAAAGAAGATGGACATTGGAAAACTGAATGCCCAAAGTTAAATGATCAAGCCGGGAAGAATAAGGGGAAAGCTATTCAGGCTTCAGAGGTGAATGTTGTCAAGGCTAGTGGCAACGATTCAGATTCGAATTCTTCAGGCTACTCCTTATCTGCACTGTCGTCAGTTTGTGTTGCCTACTCTATAAAGTGGATGTTGGACTCGGATGCTACATACTACATTTGCCCCAGGAGGGATTGGTTCTCTAGCTTTCAGGAGTTAGAAAGAGGGGATTTCGTGCTCATGGATAATGATCATGAATGCCCTATTGGTGGTATTGGCACCATTCGGATTAGGATGAGTGACTGAGTGATTTAAGAGTTGGTTGGAGTGAGGTTCGTTCCTCAGTTGAAGAAGAACATCATTTCACTGGGAGCTTTGGAGGCAGCAGGCTATAGGGTGACCTTGGCGGATGCACGTTTGAAGGTTACATTTGGGTCCATGATTGTGATGAAGGGCGTCAGAAGGAGTAACTTATACTATTTGCTTGGGAGCATGGTGATTGATAGAGCTCTGACGACTTCATTGGATTTGGCTAGATTGTGGCGTAGTTTGGTGCTGGGGTATTTGATTGGTGATGTCGTGCAAAGGTTGTTGAGGAATGCTTTGACCTGCAGATGGAAGTCCTTTGAGCACATTGGGATGAGCAAGACCGTGGTAGAGTTTGGCACTTCTATCCATCGAGCTAAGCGTCTTTTAGGAGGTGTTCAGTCAGGTATTTGGGGGCCTTCCAAGGAGGCATCATTGGGAGGTAATCGTTTTGTAGTTTCCGTAGTTGGTGATTGTTCTAGGCAATATTGGGTCACGACCTATTCCTGTTGGTGTAAAGTCCTAGAAGTCAACAACAATTAGAAGAAGTGTATTGGCAGAAAGGTAACTCGTTGTTCTAGCTTTGGTAGGGGTCCTTTCTTGCGTTTGTGCCGAGCTCATGGCAACTTGAAACACTTCATTGATGTGGAGACTTTGGGGCGACAAGATGAGATGACAGTTTCAATGGGTCGTTCCTTTCTGGAGGAGGATTGACGTTGGTTGTCGAGCATTAGTTCTGGTTCTGGAGTTTTAACATATTTGGGTCATCTTAGTCATAGGTCGCCGACTGCTGCATTAGGAGTTATTGGATCTGGTGGAGCTGCTTCATATTTTGGTTGGCGTTGGATATTTGGTTACCCAGCATTTGGTCACATCGAGGATGTGAGATTTGATCCGATTGCGCGTTTGGGATTCAGAGGCTTATTTGATTATCGTTTGGGAGGTTCTGATTTTGTTCTGAGTGTTGATCAGGTCATTTGGATATCGCAGCAGGTGGAGGGTGATGCTACTTCACGTTGGGTGGAACTTATTCCACATACTCCAGATCATACTGCGTCATTTGGGATTCTAGCTGAGGTGATACAGGTTGGGGATCATTTGATTTCGGATGCAGGTGATGGATTGGTTTTGGATTCGGTTATAGCTGGTGGACATGATTTGGATACGACCATTGATTCACCTCAGATGGAGATGTTTGATTTGTACAGTTTGGGGCCGCTATCAGTTGCAGATCCGTTGGCGATATTGAGGAAGAGTTGCAGACTTTTCTATTTTGATTGAGGACATTTGGAGGCCGTTTGGGTGAACTACGTGAAGACTTGATTCCTTGGGCAAAAGGATACGTAGGCAGTCTTTATGATGCAGCCGATTTGGTGAGTAGATACCGACGTTTGGGTGAGTGTTCGCACTCCCGTTTGGATCTCGACTTGTAGAGAATTGAGAAGCAGCAAGTGAGACATTTGGCTTGGTTGGTGTCGGCTCAGTTTTGGTAGAAACTTCGCCGATGTGGAGAATTGAAGAAACCGCGAAGAATTTCGAAGAAGAATAGGTTTTGGAGCTCAGGAGAGTGTTTTGGAGTTTGGCGGTCGACCGCGGCACAAGGCCGATCGACCGCATACGTGCACAAACCTGAGATTTGGTTTAGGACTTGGCGCGGTCGACCGCGATACCCTGTAATGGTTTTTGACTCTCTATCGTTTGATCGCGGTTGACCGCGAGCTTTTGGCGATCGACCGCGTAGCGGGTATGGGCCTGTTTTGTGTTTCCTGTTCTTATTAGATTTTGGTGTTTGTATAAATACCAATACATATTCTAGGGTTTCTTAATGCAAGAGTTTGGGATATTTGGAGCACAGAAAAGAGGTATTTTCTGAGTTATTTGATTAGGGTTTATTTGGAGAGATTAAGAGCTTTGTTGGTGAGATTAGTTTGTTCCTTCGAGTGATTTGTAATCTCAAGTTGTACTCTTTTTCTCTATTAGTAAAAACCCAACCCCTTCTTGCCCCGTGGACGTAGGTGATTGTTGAACCACGTTAAAATTGATGTTTTGTTTGTGCATTGGTTTTGGCTGGTTTTGGCCCTCTTTGATCGGCATTTGGTTTGATTTCTCAACACGGTTTTCAACAACAATTGGGGTTTTCCTAACATTTTATATGTAGTATAGAAGTATAGATAAGCTTCTGGCTAGTTGAGACAAAATTTCTTTTGTACGGTTTACAAAAAGTTTTTCAAGATAATTCAATTTTCAAGAAAACCAAAGTGCGAGCACGGGGCATAACGCTTGTTGTTAAGATAATAAAATGTTCATGCTAGTCTCCACCAATTGTTAATCTCGTTTCGGCTTAGTCGTAAAGAACAACTAACCAGTTTTAGCATATGGTAGAAACTTGTTCATTTTTAAATAGTTTTAAAATCAATATTTAATTTAATCTGAATTTCTTAGGGCTCCTATAGTCAGCACCGGATGCGCCTTCCCATGGACTCCTCCTCTTCTAAACAAAATAAACAAGTAAATTAATCTTTGAATAATATGAACAGTAGAATAAGAGTAAATTTCAACAAACCCCCAGAACTTTCATGGGTTTCCCAAAAAATCCCATGAACTTCATGAAGCTTGCGAAAGGATACCCTAACCGAGTAATTGTGCAAGGTTAAGCTAGGTCTTCTTTTCTTTAAACCAGAACCACTAACCTTGCTTTTGGGGTCCATTAAGCAAATTTGGAAGTTTAGAGGATTATTTTTAGACACCCCAAATCTGTGCTGTGTTCTTATTTGAATTTACTAGTGTGCAGACCGTACAAAGCGCGACCTCTATTTTTTTTATTTCCATTACATTAATTCTGTATTTAGATACAATTTTTATAAGTACTACAGTAATATTTTTTTTTAAAATGCTCAGTACCCCACCTGAGCTACTACAATAATGTTTTTAAACGCAACAATTCCAACCATGTGCCATAGTAATAATACTATAATAAATTTACTATAGCCTGAATGGTGTAACTTGGAGCGTCCTGACTGTGCTACAGCAACAATGCCATAGTAATTTAATGCAGCATGAATAGTGAATCTTGTAAATACCAGCTTGGAGCCTCCTATTATTATATAAGAATAGATATAGCTGAGAGGGTTCAGTGACAAACCTTCTAAAAATCAGGGGGTCCTGCAAATTTCAGCCAATAAGAGACCGCCAACAAGTAAACAAACTTTAATGAAAGTCTGGTGCGAGCAAAGGCAAGGAAAGAAGAGGACCGGTCGGTAACTTGTCTCGCGTGCGGCGCGTCCATCAAATTTGGCGCACGCAGGGCGACAACTCGTTCTGTAGTATTCCTCCTCCCCATTCTCTCGAAGCTGCTGCCCGTTTCAATTCCTCGGGGATTAACGAGGAATTAGCGACAAATAATCGCGAGGGGCGGAGGATTGAGAGAAAGAGGGATGTGGGTTTTCTATTTGATCTCGCTGCCTCTAACCCTGGGCATGGTTCTGATCACGCTACGGTACTTCGCCGGCCCCTACGTACCCAAATACGTACTCTTTACGGTCGGATACGCTTGGTTCTGCTCGCTCTCCATCATCATCCTCGTCCCCGCCGACATCTGGACTGTAGGAATCATCTGATCTTTTGTTTTCGCTCTCTCTCCTTTTTCTTTTTAAAATTTTGGATCTGGTCGTCTTTTCTGATGAATTAGATTGGGGTTTAGGGGAATTTTGGCTGGTTGAGGGGTCCGATTTTGAATCTTTTTCTTTTGATAATCTGGAGCTGAGTTAGGGTTTTTTAGATCTTTCTCGTTCTGCGAGAGATCATTTGGTGGATCATGGGAGGAAACACAAATTTGAGTATAATTGCTGCATTTTCGGTGATTTAGCTGAATCTTATCGGAGATTTGTTGGGTGTTTATTGGAATTTGGATGGATTCCTTTATTTCTTTTTTCTATGCTTGAATAATGAAATATTGCAGTTTTCATGAGTTAGCTTTAAATATAGGCATCAATTTAGTACGTGGTCGATCCAAAGTTTTATAGTGCGTGCTGGCATTTCAGGGGTTGGTGATCAGCTGAGTGTGCATCAGTTGGTTTGAGGAATTTGCCACTAAGCTGGCATTT